CCATTCTTACTCAAACCACTATGTTCCCTGTAGATTTATAGTCAAATCCTAATGTAAAATGCATGTAGGCTAACTTCAAAAGTTCTTACAGTTTTTCACAGTCTCAGCACTGTTTCAATGTCAAAAGTTCACTCTTTTCTGAGACACATGCAATCTCTTAACAGTAACCCCCTGTAAAGAGCAAAAGCAGAAAACAGATCACATATTTCCAACGTACCATGGCACAGAGTATGCATTACCATTCCAAAAGCGACAAATGGAAATATAGTGAGTATATACAGGAGCAGTGCAGGACAAACTCCTAAATTCTGTATCTTCATGTCTTGTATCTGACACTCTTCAGTTCTCCAACTCCTTTCGGTGTTGTTGACTGCAACACACTTCTTTTTCTTGGGCTGCTTCCACCAGTCTGCAGTTTTCCATGAAAGATATCCCATGACTCTGTAATCTCTAATATTTTGAGGTCTCCAAGGCCTCCTCACCACTTTACACAGTGGCCTTTCTGGACCTCCATGCAGGGACACCCCTAACATACCTAGCTTCATTGGCTTTCTTTAGTTTCTGAAGGAGATTCCACAACCTCTTTCTTGTATTCGTGACTCTAAAACCTGAACCACATGGCCAAAGCTGTCAAGTTGTGTTACGTGCTAAGGCTAAAATTTGACCCCCTAATTCAATACATTTGCATCAGCTTTCTTTCTTTCTTTCTTTTTTTCTTTGTTCCTTAACTGATTAAGTTTTTCTTTAAATCATTTTCGTAAGTGTGAAACTTAGCTAGGGGAGGTCTTGCCCCGGGGTCACCACTCAGTTTATTCCATTTAAACTTTTTATCTCCTTGAGTACTGGAATTGTCTCCAACACTATAGTTTCTCATGTTTCTTCTCGCCTCAAACGGTATAGTATCCTCTTTTTCATTATAGAGCTGCATAAGACTGACTACCAATAATCAAGCAAAATTCTCAGTGTTGGGCTGTCTTAAAATCTTTTCTGCCCACACCATTAATTCCAAAGTCTTCAGTTTAGCTCTAGGCAGCTATTTAGGACAAGGGAAAAAAAACCACATTCTTCACCAGAATATCACAAGAATGGTCTCTAGGTCACCTATGAGTATTCTTCTGCTCTGAAACCCCATGGGCTGGGTCCCTACAGAACAATTCTCTCTTAGTACAAATTTCACTCCTTAAAGTGTCTTAACTGCTTTTCTCACTCAAAGGTCCAAAGTCTTCCATATTCCTTCAACAGCATGGTTAAGCCTATCACAGCAATACCCTGCTCCCTAGTACCAACTTCTGTCTTAGTCACTGTTCTATTGCTTTGAAGAGATACCATGATTAAGCCAACTCTTATTTTTAAAAAGCATTTAGTTGGGAGCTTGCTTACAGTTTCAGAAGTTTAGTCCACAATTATGGTGGGAACATGTGAACAGTCAATGGTGTTTGAGCAGTAGCTGACAGATTCATCCTGATTCATATTTAAACCATACCATAAAATGTTAATTTTACCCCCCCCCCATTTTATATTTTTGTGTTAGAAATTAAGTGAATTCAATTTATTTTGTTTGTGATAGGGTATCACTACGTAACCCAGGCTGGGTTCAAAACTGAACAGTCCCCCAGGTACTAAGATTATAGGTATGGGCTACCCTACCCATCTCAGTCCAGTTTTTTATAGATATAGCAGTCTCAGGAAATTTAAGACTATAGCAGATTTAGACTTTTAGTCTAAGAAAGGAAACAACTTTATAAGGATAAGTCCCTTTATTTTTCTAATACTTAAATTATTGCACATTGCATTACAAATTAAATGCATCTTTTGCATATTTATAAGTTGGTAAAAATCCGTTTCTTCCTTTGAGGAAGGTAATAGTGACATGAAACTTGGAAGTACATGATATAGTCTTATTTTCATGTATTTCTGTGCCTAGGAGGCCAGTTCTGTTGTGACAGTTTCTGTTATGTTACTCTGTGGTTTTTAATGCACACACATAATGCACGCACACATACACCATTCACACATGCACACACTGCCAGTCAGGATGCAGAAAAGTCCCATCACCCTCAAAAATCTTTCTTATAGAACCCTATCAGCTGGAAATATTGATTTGTTCTTTCAATATAGTTATCCCATCTTTAGTGTACTATATTTGTTAACCCATTTCCTATTGGTATAACAGGCCACCTAAAGCTGATACTTCAGAAAAGAAGAGATAGCCAAACTTTGGGTACAGTGCAGGAAATCTTATGGAAGGAGATAGAAAGACCTGGAGGGAAAAGGAACTCTACAAGGAGACCAACAGAGCCAAAAAAATCTGGGTTAAGTAGGGCCTGCAGAGACTGATGCATCAACCAAGGACCATGCATAGAGAGGATCTAGAACCCCTGCTTAGATGTAGCTCACAGGCAGCTCAGTCTCCATGAGGGTTCCCTAGTAAGGGAAGCAGGGTCAGTCTCTGGCATGAACTTGGTTGCCTGCTCTTTGATCACATCCTCCTGGCGAGGTTGCCTTACTAGGCCACAGAGAAAGAGGATCCAGACAGTCCTGATGAGACCTGATGGGCTAACGTCAGATAGTAGGAGAGGAAGACCTCTTCTATCAGTGGAATAGGGAAGGGTCATGGTTGGTGGGGGTGGGGAGGAAGGGTGGGATCAGGAGGAGATGAGGGAGAGAGCTGGGATACAAAGTGAATACATTGTAGTAAATGATGATGATGTTAGTAATAATAATAATAATAATAATAATAATAAAGAGAAAGATTATTCAGCTCACTGTTTGGAGTTTGAAGAGCATTCTAAACCCAGCTCTATTAACAACATGGTGATTGGTATTTTAGCAGGAACTAAAGAGAAGTAGGGAAGAGAGAGGACATGATAATCTGGGAATCAGGAAGATTCAGGGGATAGGCTAACTCTTAAAAAAAAGTTGTGTTATACTTTGATAATTTCATATAGTATTTTGTTAGTTTTAAATTTTCTTTTATCGTTGTTATTTTGAGGTTATAATTTAATTATAACATTTCTCCCTTTGTTTTCCCCCCCTTTAATTGTTCTCATATACCCCTTCTCACTCCTTCAAAATTCATGGTTTCTGTTTTCAGTAATTGTTATTATATGCATGTATGTGTATATCGATATTCATTCCTAAATGTAATCTGCTCAATGTGTGGTTACTTGTATGTATATTTTTAAGGCTGACCGTTTCTCTGCCTCAATATCTCTTCTTCCCCTATAATGATCTTTTTTTAATATAATTTTAGCACTGTGCTAATTATGCTTTTTCTGCCAATAACAACACAGGACAGATGACATTCACATGTTCTGCATACTTACAGGAATGTGCTCCTCAAATTGACCAAACCCCCCCCAAAAAAAAACAGTTTTAAGAAAGTAAAATAGTCCAACTTTAGTATGTTAAATTCTGTCAATAGTCACTGTAGCAGGTATAATATAAAATGAGGTATAATAAGCTGTGAATTAGGAGAATTGCATAGTTGTTTTAAGTATAACTTTTCTTTCTAATAAAGAAAATGAAGATGAGGAAATTCGACCTCATTATATGAAAAATCTGGAATCCTCTCAAATTTATTTAAATTACCCATGATATAATTTACAAGTGTAAATTGCTTCAATAGTGTGTCTGGAAACACCCATTTTAAGTTAGAAAAGAAAGAAAGCGTCTGATATAGCTTTGGCGTACTGGAAATTTTTCTGACTTTAAGTACCAGGCTTCAGTTTTTATCTCCCTGCTGCTGCTTACCATACATGTCATTAAACCTCATAGCACCTGCCTTTTCTCAAATATTGAGTATACCATGCACATGCACGATATGCTCATTATACACAAAGTTCATAAGTATATCATGAGATGATAACATTGCAGTATAAACTGTAAAAATAGGGGCTAGAAAGTATTATGAATGATAAGAGATTCAGATTGAGCTTTGGAAAGTGAAAAAATAGTGGGGAAGAGTGAATAGTTAGAAACCTTAAAATTTCAATATGGTACCGTACCTTATAACTACATTCTTAAAAGCATATTCCATCAGCTATTTGTATTTTAATGTTATTGTTTAATGTTAGCATAGTAGTTGATTGAAATACTGATTGGTATGACTTCCATATAGCTTCTATTACGAAATAGTTAATTCTTATGTTTAACAAGAGGGTAGCATAGCAATAAAGCAGGTGGTGTCTTTTCAATGTGTTTAACAAGCATTATTCATTGTTTGCATTTGTTTCTAAGTCTGTTATTTAATCTTTCTAAAAGTACTTTGGTAGTATGATAAATTTCCTGAACCTAAGTGTTGCTTTCTGTATTAGAACTCTTTTAGTATATTCTAAAAGAGACATAGGGCAAATGAAATAATTTGATGTTTGATGGGTTTTGTTTTGTATGGTAGTTGAACAAAAACTACTGTGGGCTAAACAGGTTTATTAGTGGTATTTTTTCCCTAGTAGTTAATCACAGATACTTTTCATTTTTTTATGATCCTTTTGGGTATATAATTTCAACTTCACCTTGTCTGATGAAAAAATCACATTCATCACATCCTGTATACAAAACATTAAACTCTATAGGGGTAGGACAAAAAATAGTAATATGGTGTAGACCTTCAAGGATGTAATTGGAAAGAAAGCTATGCACAGATAACTATAATGTAAAATCAGTTAGCTGCTAAGTGCTGTGAGCTCTGTAGGATTTCAGATTACAGAAAGAATTTTTTTGTAGAAGCTGATCAAGAATGATTTGTGGATTCAGGGGCATTTGACTAATTCACAGTTTGTAAATTAATATTAACATGGCAGTGTGGTATAGAAATCCTAAAATAGCAGAGCTTCTACTGCCAAAGATTTTTATCTTTATAAATTGGAAAAATAATTTCAATTCTAGTAAATGTATTCTAGTAAACATTATTACCACAAATAATAATTTAAGGAAAATATTTGTACTTTTATAATAAATGTTTTATGTATGATGGGTAATTGATGTTTTTATATTTTTAGGCCATGAATATTGTGGTTCCTTTCATGTTTAAATATGCTGTAGACAGCCTCAACCAGATGTCGGGAAACATGCTGAACCTGAGTGATGCACCAAATACAGTTGCAACCATGGCAACAGCAGTTCTGATTGGCTGTATGTGTGATTCTTTAATCTGTCTACAGGTGTTGACTTTCTTCAAGAAGGTTTCATCATCTTTGAGCAGATGACCTTTTCACCACAAATACAACTTAGCATTTTAGATTTTTATTATTTTATGTGAGATGTTTTATCTGTTTTTTAAAAATTCTTTGTATGATATGCTTTGCAAAAGCTCTGTGATACAGCAGCATTTTCCATGTTTGAAAAAGAATAATATAAGACATTAAATGTATTACCTGTTGGTAATACCTCACTAGGCTTTTTATAAGATACCTTTCTAGGAAGTACAGTTATTTTCTTGCTGTTAATATTAAATGAAAGTAGCTAATTAATGATATATGAACATTAGTGCTTTGTTAAAATATATGCAGTAACCATGACAAACAAATACAATATGAGAATAATGGGATTACTTTCAAATGCACTTGGGCCTGCATCTTTTGAAAGGACACTATTAGACTTCAGAGACAGAAGCAGGGCTTGCTAAAAGCACTTGACTCTTCAGGATCCAAGCCTTTGGCATTTGTTACATGAGAAAATTGAATTAGATATTGTACACTTATCCACAATGAGGCCATCTGGGCTATAAGTATTTTAATTGGAAAAAAAATCCTTCAGCATCTGAAATCTAGGGTCAGATAACATGGAAAGGGATTTATGATGATAGAAAGGTTAGTACTCATTAGAATAGATGAGTTCTAGGCTTCGTTTAGTGTAAATATTCCGTGTTGTGTTTATTTTTTGGCTGAATTATTCATTGTAGAAAGATTTCTTTTAGCCTTGCCATTTACACTGTGATGATTCTAACATTTCTATGGCCCCCTCTACTTTTTTCTTTTGTTGTTATGTTAGACGGTGTATCAAGAGCTGGAGCTGCCTTTTTCAATGAAGTTCGAAATGCAGTATTTGGCAAAGTAGCCCAAAATTCAATCCGAAGAATAGCCAAAAATGTATTTCTCCATCTTCACAGCTTGGATCTGGGTTTCCATCTGAGCAGACAGACAGGAGCTTTATCTAAGGCTATCGACAGGGGCACAAGGGGTATTAGTTTTGTCCTCAGTGCTCTAGTATTTAATCTTCTTCCTATTGTGTTTGAGATGACGCTTGTCAGTAGTATTTTGGTAAGTAATGCATTTTTCATAGTAAGCTCTTATCTTACAGTCTTATTAATAGCAAATAATAATTTGAAACCATTATGCTTTTGCATAATGCCAGATTATGTAGTTTGTTTCATTATTTTGCCACAAGTGTCAAAGGACTGTCTAAATTATGAATCATTCTTTTAGATACATAGATCATTGATTAGTGCCTTAATTTTTTTTCTAAGAATTTTGTATGTCGCACATTGGATTGATGTACGTAGAATATTTGTTTCTATTCATCAATCCTAACATGTTAAGACAATGTAATCTTTTAATTCATTTCTCTTTAGGCTTGAACTGTTTCAGTGATAGAATTTCATAGCTTAATTGTGGCAGGTGCAGTTTGGCTTTCTTTTCTTGTTACCTTGAGTGATTGTCTGAAATATTTAATTTTTAATTTATTGTTTATTAATGTAACTTACCAGCATCATAGTTTTTATAAATAGACTTTGAAATTTGCTGCTGTGATGCTATAGTGACAGGACCAGCAACCACTTTTTTTAAGTTTTGTTTTATTTTGTTGTTTTTAAAACAATGATTTTAAGAAAAGAAATATTTTTATTTATCTGAAATGTATCATATCTTAATACTTTCAATGAAAACAATAATATTCTCTACAAGCTTTCCATTTTGTCAAGTTTTAGACTGAAATGAAACTGCTATATTTAGTTATATTTTTGATTCAAAATATAATTAAGCATGATTCATAATCATTTTACTAGATAGATAATTATTTTTTTCATTTTAAAATGCTATTTTATTCCATTTTATTTTACATGATAGAGGATGCTGCCAGAGGTTTTTTACATACATGATAAATCTCTCACTTTTCTTATTTATTGGTAAATGATGAAAGTCAAAGACAATTTAACCACTTCTCATTTCTTCTCTTGACTTCTTTTTCAGTATTACAAATGTGGTGCCCAGTTTGCCTTGGTAACCCTAGGAACACTTGGTGCATATACAGCATTCACAGTTGCAGTTACACGGTGGAGGTATGGGATTTGTCAGAGACTAGTCAAGAGTACAGAAGTCAGTTACAGGATAGCGTATATTTCATGCTGTGTAAATCTTTGTCTTACAGAACTAAATTTAGAATAGAAATGAACAAAGCAGATAATGATGCAGGTAATGCTGCTATTGACTCACTGCTGAATTATGAAACTGTGAAGGTAATCTGTTTACGTATCTTTTTGTCTGCCTTTCACATTGACAAAGATTTGTTTTATTTTTTAATAGTTGCTCTAAGAATATCAGAATAGGATCTCTAGGTGTGATGAAATAAAACTTCATTTTTTTTGTTGTTTAAAATATTTTCTGTCTTTTGTCTTTGGTTTTTATTTGGGAATATTAGAATTTAATTTCTGAATTAGTTTATAAAGGATCATAAGTATGAATAGCATCTTGATGCCAAATGAATATTAACTAATTAAACTGATGTAAAAGTTCTTGATCCTCTTTTTATCCTTCAGAGTGCCTAGTATAGTGCTTTTCCTTAATTCTTTCATTCATTTTTGTATTTATTCACTTAACAATTGCTGAATTCCTGTCCTAGGCAAAGCACTATGCTAAGTGCTATGATGGGAGAAGGTGGTAAAAAGATTACAGTGTCACCGTTGACTTCCCCTAATTTTATAATCTGCTAGAAAAGCTAAAGTAAGTGTTAGAATTAACTAGTCATAGAGGCATGGTACCGTGAAGGCAGTAGGACCTGAGAATTCAAGGCATCAGGGGAAAGCTTTATGAAGGAAGTATCACTACTAGAAGGCACGTTTAAATAAGCTCTAGGTTCCAATTGATTACCTAGTTAGTAATTGCTTATTGGATGAATTTTGAATACAATCTATTATTTGAAAACCTTCTGGAATACCATAATAGAATATATTAAAAGTCAATACATATGCATATATTATATGCATATATTTCTATTTTTATTTTTGACAATTTCATATATTATATAATGTTGTGATTTTATTCAATGACCCCCTCCACTATCCCTTATCTCCTTCCCACTCCTGCTGACCCATTTTTTTTCCTTCAAAGTAGAATTTTATGATAGAATCTGCAATACCAAAGTATATTCATATATCAAGTGTAATAAAATTTATACCAATTACATAAAAGAATATATATTCTAATTTGTACATAGTGACTATTTTTATATTTTTAGTATTTTAATAATGAAAAATATGAAGCACAGAGATATGATGGATTTTTGAAGACCTACGAGACTGCTTCATTGAAAAGTACCTCTACTCTGGCTATGCTGAACTTTGGCCAAAGTGCTATTTTCAGTGTTGGATTAACAGCTATAATGGTGCTTGCCAGTCAGGGAATTGTGGCAGGTAATGGATCTATATGGTTATCACATTTAGAGACTCTTATAAATGGGAAAGAATAAGTGTTTTGCATTAATTGTAAAGTATGCCCAATAAAATACTTAGACATCTTTAGAATGTTGTTCTTTTCCTATCAGATTGGGGTTTTTTTTATTGATAATTCTTTTACTTCATTTTGGTTAACACTGACTTACTCATTGAAAATAAGTATTGTACTACTTATTTATGTTATGGGTCTATAACTTGATTATTTAGGATAAACTTTTTAAAAAATTAACTATGTAAAATATTGACTTTTATAATACCCTTTAAAAATTTTTATAAATTTGAGACACCAACCTTTATTATCTAGGATTTTTAATTTTTCTCATAGGCCTGGAAAGTAATTGCATTAATTTACTGTTTAATTCAAAGGACTTGTTTAATAATTACCAGTAACTTTGTAGACTTTTTTTATTTACAAGTAATATCTGCCTGTTTATAATTCATTTGATGTGACATTAATATGAACTATATCCTCATTCTTGCTTATGATAGCCATTCACTCCAAATTTAATATGTATGCTTTTATAAATTTTCTTTTTTATATTGTACAAGAAATCTTTGCTTATACCTTAGAGGAAAAAGGAAATACTTTTAACCTTTCACTTCTATCATTACTTAAATCATCCTTTTATATATATATTATACATAGTATATAGGTATGTGTTTCCCTTTCCATGCAGTATATACCAAGTTCCTATATTACCTAATTCATTCATTCATAGGCTGTGCAACTTGTATGATCTTAAATGTTGCTGGTTATGTACACTTAGAACTTTGTGTCATAGAAATTACCTATAAAACCCTCTCTTAAACTGGGAACGTTTATACCTTTTCTTCTTCCAATTGCATAAAAAGGTGTCCTTACTGTTGGAGATCTAGTAATGGTGAATGGACTACTTTTTCAACTTTCATTACCCCTTAACTTCCTGGGAACTGTATATAGAGAGACAAGACAAGCACTCATAGATATGAACACCTTGTTTACCCTGCTCAAAGTAGACACACGGATAAAAGTAAGTAATGCATATAGTAGCCCTTTCAAAAGAACATGAACACTCTCATTAGTATTGAGTTGTTCCAGGGCAGCGGTTCTCAACCTTTTGATGGTGACTCCTCTGGTGGTCTCATAGCAGATATCTTGCATGTCAGAGTCTTAACAGTAACAAAGTTACACTTAGGAAGTAGCAACAAAAATAATTTCATGGTTGGGGGTCCCCGCCACATGAAGAACAACTGTATGAAAGGGTCACAGCATTAGGAAGGTTTGAGAACCACTGCTCTAGGAAAATATTTTTACATCACTATGTTAAACAAACAATTTCTCCATTTTCATCTTTCTCAACTCCTCACCAAGAAAGTGTTCCCAGCAATCAAAATATATAGGAATTTCTTACTGGCATATTTGTGCAGTGAGGAATAAAAAAAGGTGCTTGATAAAGCTCTTTTATTGTATTTTTCCCTTTCTATCTGTTAATTAAAGCCATTGTCTGAAGAACCTACTCTAAGTAATATAGTGTTTTTTTTTTCTTCCCTGCTAGGACAAAGTGATGGCATCTCCCCTTAAAATAACACCACAGACAGCCACGGTAGCCTTTGATAATGTGCATTTTGAATACATTGAAGGACAGAAAGTCCTTGATGGAGTATCTTTTGAAGTTCCTGCAGGAAAGAAAGTGGCCATTGTAGGAGGTAGTGGATCAGGGTGAGTAATTTTTTTTTAATTCTACATTATTGACTTATAATTCTGGATGGGAATTGTTATCACAGTGAAATAATTACTATCGTTAAATGAAGCTTCCCTAATGACAACAGATGCTGATTAACCTTCATCTCCAATTTCAGGAAAAGCACAATAGTGAGGCTGCTGTTTCGCTTCTATGAGCCTCAAAAGGGAAGCATTTACCTTGCTGGTCAAAATATACAAGATGTGAGCCTGGAAAGTCTTCGGAGAGCAGTTGGAGTAGTACCTCAGGTATTTATAACAAAAATATCATTTTTAGAGCGCTGGTGGATGTATTACTGTAATAGTTTGAATCTAAGAAGTCACCATATGCTAATGATATGGATAATATTAGATCGTCTGCTTCTGAAAGGATTTTTTTTGAGACAGGGTATCATATAGTCCTGATTGGCATGTATGTAAACTAGGCTGTCCTCACAGAGGTCCATCGACCTGCCTCAGTCAAACAGACATTGATTCTAACCCTAGCTAAGACTGATGAGATCTGTGGCTACTCAGCACAGTTTCCTCATTTCTCATTTTATAAGAAACAATTATTCTAGAGAACACACACACACCAAGCATAATATCCACAATATAAATGTTTAGACAATTAAAAGTAATTTTGAATAGTTTGCAACATATTGTTTATAATTACAAAAAAGTTTATCCACCAAACTTAAGCTTTATGCCTTATTTGCCATTGTGTCCTCTTCGCTATCAGGCATAGAGTGCCTGACTTGGAGTAATCATTTTAAAATGTTTACTGAGTGGTGTTGGGACAGGGAAGTAAATTCAAAGTAAAGCCTGGGAAGACAAGAGGTAGATAGTCTTATAGGGTTTATGGTTTTCTCTTGAAAGTCTATAAGGGAGTCTGAGGCTGTACCTAAATGGTAAAGGACTTGTCTGATGTTCATTGGTAAAACTGATTCCAGTATTAGATCCCTGGGAGAACAGATCATATGGGGAAGGAGAGAAGAAAACCTACAAGAAAGTCATCAGGAAGGAAGTGGTGATCACACCTGAAATCCCAGGACCTGGGAGGCTGTGATAGGATAATTGACTTAACTTAGAGGCAGACTGGGCTACAGTGCATTCCAGGCAGGTCTGGACTACAGACTAAGATTATGTCTTTAAAAGGAAAATATAAAGTAAAAAGAGTGAGCAGACAGGGGTATGCCAATTATATAAGGTTCCCAAGTGCTCCAACAAATGACACTCCTTTCTAGCCTTTTTCTGAGAATCTCAAATTTTAGTGGGTTTGAGTCTCCTGGGAGATTGTTGAAATTCCACGTCTTTTTCACGTGTTCTGCTTGTGATTCTAGAATGCATTGTGAGCCCAGAAACCTGTTTTTTTTTTTTATATGCATCTGTGAGGATTCTGATAGATGGTTTGTAAGATTGAGTATGTGTTAGGAAACATTGACCTATAGTGTTTGCCAAGTCAACTGCTTTCTAGGCTATGACCTCATCCAGTTCAATGTTCTAATTCATTTAAATCTGTTTCTGCCATTCTCTTGGACTATATAATGGTTTCATTCATCCTTTTGAAAAATAAAACATTAAATTCACAAAGGAAGAAAAGCTGTTCGTCCTTATTGGAGACATTAGTAACATAAAATTAGATGAAAATGAAATAACACTTTTACCTTAATTAGCTTGATAAAGATTTTGAAATTTAGGATATCCAGTTAGACACAACTGTATGAAATTGGCAGTCTTGCTCTTCTGAGGGAAGCATATGTCTTTCATTATAAGAAAATTGGCAATACATATAAAGTTCTGAGAAAGTGTTGTAATAATTTGCTGCTAGGAAATTTTAATAAGAAATTAAAAGATACATACATGGGTCTTTACATACATTACATACAAGCATTACTTATAATAGTAAAAAGTGAATACAATATAAATACACAATGGGAACTGAATGTCAACTTATGACATGTAACCATTTCTAAGCATAACATTTTTTGAAATTACGTTGTTATTGTTGTTATTTAACATATGGTCATTTCGCCTGAACGTAAGTCTTTGTACCCCATGCAAGCCTGGTGCCTGAGGATATAAGAAGAGGGTTTTGTACCTTTTAAATTTAGGGTTACAGAATGACTGTGTACTGGGAGTTTTGAACCCAGTACACAGGTCCTCTGGAATAGCAACCAATGCTCTTAACCCAGTGAGCTATTTCTCCAGCACAGCATTAAAGTTTTAAAGAATATTTAGTATTGTGAAGAGTATGTCAGTTCAAAGTTTGCTGAAAGAAAGCTATGGACCAAAATAGTCTAGCTATACAATATAGGTTAACACATATAAATAGAGAAAAAGATAGCATAAATACCCAAGCATGTTTTTTTCTGGATGATAAAGTAATATATTATTTAATTTCTTAAATTTGTGAGCATTATTTATATATATGGTACACACCATGTTATAAGATACCCATACTTAGTAATGTGGTTACTTAAGTAATCTCAGTTAACAATTGCATTATTTCACACAGTTACTCATGTTTACTATATGGTAAGAGTATTTAGCAAAAATTGTAAAAGAAGTCTGTGTTTCGTATGGGGAGAGAGGGTCTCATTCTGTAGTGCAGGGTAGCAACAAGCTCTTGGGGCTCCTACTTCTGACTCCCGAGTGCTGAGATTACAAGGATGGGCCACCACACCCATTCAGTTCATTTTTAATAATAAATTTTTATTGTATTTTTTCTGTTTTTCAGTTAGCATTTGTTAATTTTTTTCAGAGTATTAAAGACTATAAAATAGTTCAATATAAAGAACTTTGAGTTACTTAATACTGACTCAGTAGGAGAAAATTTCTGTAAGTAGTAGATATATAAATAATTATAATATTATTTGAAATAGCATCTGAAAATTTAAGCCTGAAAATCATGTAAAAGAAGACCTTATTGAGTCCTCTGGTAAATATTAACGATTAGAGCCATTTTATTTCACCACATTCTTAAACATTCAGAGCCTGACAAAAGAATAGGAGATGAATGCTCACTTGAAATAAATTATCTTTAGTATGCCATGTCAGAACTCATTCAATTACCAAATGAAAGCTTGCAGCGATCTTCCTCTAATAAATACATCCATGATGAAAAAAAAATTACTTGTTTGCTCAGCTTCAAGTCCAAAGTAAAAGCTTCTTATCAATACAGGGAAATGTATTTAACCTCATCAGTAATTAAGAAAATGCTAATGTAAACAAGAATCACATTTCACTTTAAAAGTCACAGCAAGTGAAAAAAGTGTAAAAACCCGAATTACTAACTCTATGGGGATCTAGCAACCTAACCTGCCACTGAGTAGAGCATGATCATACTTTACTAGCTACTATTTTTGCAGGACAGCTGAATAAACATAAACTTAACCTTTGACCTATCAGTTGACACGTAGGACTCCTTGCATAAATACTCAGATATGCAAAGCCATTTATATAATGATATTTTATTCCAACGTGTACATCACATTAATGTACACCAATAGGGGAATAAGTAAGCTATATCTGTAGTATAAAATATAGAACTGTTAAAAAATGAAATGTTTTTTATTATTCAGAGTGGACAATCTCCAGCATATATTAAATAGAAAAGGCAATTTACAAAATTTTGTAGGTTTATTTTGACTAGATTCCCTTGTATTGAAAAAAAAAACCATATGGTTAAGCATATAAATGTCTAGAAATAAGTGTGGAATGAACACAACAAATTATATGTGGTAATTAGGTCCAGGAAGGGACCTGAGACTGCAAGACCCTCATCTGATAAAGGGGATTTCTTGATTTACTATTAACCATTACTTTATGTTTTTAACATTTACATTTGTATAATGAACATATATATGTGTGTATGTATGTATATGCATATATATTCATATGTATGTGTAAATCTGCTTCAGGATGCCGTCCTTTTCCATAACACTGTCTACTACAACCTCTTATATGGGAACATTAAAGCTTCACCAGAAGAAGTATATTCAGTAGCAAAATTAGCTGGTCTTCACGAAGCAATTCTTCGAATGCCACATGGATATGACACACAAGTAGGGGAACGAGGACTCAAGCTATCGGGTGATCAACAATTTTAAAACTTCCACTTGTATATTCTTTTCATACTAATTTCTTGAGAGTGTTTATATTATTTATAGAAGCTCATGTCTATTGGTTTGAATGTGTAACCCATAACCGTTATATTGAAGGAAAGCCAAGACTGTCCCTCACCTGGAAAAGAGTCAAAGCAGACTTAAATAGTTTAGTACTGAAAAGTGTATCTCTCATCTCATTTCCTAGGTTAAGCTCAGCGATTTAGACTCCCTTACACTTGGTCCTGTTAATTTTCTTATCCTTCTTAGTTAGCTCACTGGTGAAAGAAATTCAGAGGCTTGTATGTTTCTATATAAATCTTTAATCACAAGATCATATGTTTAATAATCACCTTAAAATGTTTGTCAGAACATTTATTAACTGTATACTATGGGTAGCTCCTATCACAAATTATTTATGAGTAAATGGGCCTGCTGTCAAGGAATTTTGGTGCTTTAAAAAAATTTTTTTAATCGAGACAGGGTTTCTCCGTGTAACCTTGGCAGTCCTAGACTCGCATTATAGACTAGGCTGGCCTTGAACTCACAGAGATCTGACTGCCTCTGCCTCTCCAAGTGCTGAGAAATTTTTAATTTAGGTTAAAAGTATTTTAAAGCCAGGTATGGTGGTGCACACCTATAATCCCAGTATTCATGGAAGCAGAGGCAGGTTTGTGGCTGTTGTTTGGCCATAACTTAGTAATAGAACATGCTTATCATTTCAGTCTCTTTATAAAGGGTTACATAATTTGCTGTTGCAATTAAAAGAAGGTAAAATGTATTTGCTATACACCCTTATTTTGAAAAGTACTATAAAATAACAGCTTATCTTAAAACATCCTTAAATATTAGCAGATTTATATTGTCAGAAATTAAGATATTCATAGTTCCATGTCTTTAAGTTTTCTAGTTTCAGATATCAAATTTGTCTTTTACTTTGTTGATTTTTTTGCTATTGGATCTTTTTTTATCTAAGGTTGTTGCATATTGAAATATTTGTAATATAAAGTAACATGATATGTTTCTGGTGAGAAAAATTGGAGAAGCAAAATTGTTAACTTCTCATTTTTATACATTTCACTGACATGAATCAGAGATTCACTAAGTTTGCATTTGTATTCCAGGGAATATAGTTTGTCAAAGGACTTCATATATAGACTTATACTGAACATTTCAGTAAAATGACGTGTGCTAAAGAGTTGACATGAATGTTGCAAGTATAACTTGATGGTTGTAATCAACAGAAAAACTAGAAACAGAATATTCCTGTATTTGTTTCCTTAAATTATTTTTTTTTCTTTTCCAGGAGGAGAAAAGCAGAGAGTAGCAATTGCAAGAGCCATTCTGAAGGACCCCCCAGTTATTCTGTATGATGAAGCTACTTCATCATTAGATTCCATTACTGAAGAGGTAAATGACAATGAAAATAACAAACTTTCTCCCTTGGAAGTTTCAGTACAATATCTACATTACTTAGTGTGATAGTGCTCAACCTTCCTAATGTTGCAACCTTTTAATACACAGTTCCTCAGGTTGTGGTGACCTCCAACCATAAAATTATTTTCATTGCTACTTCATAACTGTAAATTTACTACTGTTAGGAATCATAATGTAAATATATGATGTGCAAGATATCTGATATGAGACCCCTTTAAAAAGATTATTTGATCCCCCAAGAGGGGTCTTGACCCACACGTTGAGAACCACTGACTTTGTGTTTGAATGAATTTCAGTTGGAAAATTCCTAACCCTTTCTTCCCATATGGCAAGTGTTAATGAATGCTACAAAAGCCAGGTTGCATTGAGCCAGTGAATCTGTTCACAAATGTGTTTCCTTTTGGACATGTATGATAAATCTATGCTACTCTTAATTCCTTTTGCATCTTGCAAAACTATATATATTACCCCACATGCTAGTGAAGGAGGAGAGTTTTAGCCACTGTCTTGTTGTCATTTACCACTCCTCAACAGAAATCATGTAAGTGACTGTGACATAGTACATACCAGAATGCTTTCCTTACTATTGAAGTGCAAGCCAGGCAATAAAACCCTTAGAATGGGTATCAATATGTATTCATTTCATAAAACTGTTATGTAACAGCAAGATATCTGTGACAGTGATAGTATGATACTACCCTACAAGTACATTAAACCTCACAACTTCTTTACATTATACACAAAAAATTTCAACAGCATTGATAATTTCATGTAGGCTACTCTACAACCCAAAATAGGCAAGTGTCCCCAGTTGCTACTTTTCGCTGAATTTGTGGTACAGAAGTATTATGATCGAGGTCTACTTTCAGCTTTACTAGCAATATGATATAATATTTACAGGTGGAATTAACTTTTAAGGGACAATGTTATATTATCAGCAGCATACTTAAAACAGTTCAAAGTAGATTTCTTTGAGAATTTATTATATTTTGAGTGAACATTTAACAGGATTAGATCCCGTTCAAAAGAGAATAGCAGCCTATTTATTTATGAGAACTTTATACGTTAATATATGTTGTGTAAGTTACAAGCTAACAAAATAGAATTTATAGCAGCAGTTTTTAAGTCACATAGCATGATTATGTCAGAGCATATAACCCACTAAGCTTTTACAGAGAATTCCTCAGAAGAAATAGTTTTATTAGATTTCAGTAAGCCCTTTTAATAGGTACAGGGAAATCAGAATTTAAGTTTTTATTGGTAACAAAGGAGAGGCTCTCTACAAACAACAAGGTTTTTATTATTGTTGTTTTCTTTTGTGTAGTATTGGCCCTTTACTTGATCTTTACTCTGTCCTAGTAAAACTTAAGGTCTGCTTTTCAGAAAACTGTCTACTTCCAGTAATGTTATGTTTTTAAAAAATTAAATGTCTAGAAATACCTGTAGGAAGGCACTGAGTATATCTTAAGCACCCACACTGCTGTCTCTAGCCAAGTACCTCTGTTTAGGCCCAAGTTTCCAAAGATAATTGAATAAACATTTAATTTTCTTACACTTCAGAGGCAGTAAACAAAATCTACTTTCTAGAATAAATTAACTCAAAATGAAGATTAAGCATCTTCCCTAGGGTCCTCCTTGTTGTTTACCTTCTTTAAGGCTATAGATTTTAGTACGTTTATCCTATATTGTATGGCTAATATCCACTTATAAGTGAGTATATACTATGAGTCTTTCAGCTTCTGGGTTACCTCACTCAGGATGATCTTTTCTAGAGCCCACCATTTGCCTGCAAATTTCATGATTTCCTTTTTTGTTGCTGAGTAGTATTCCATTGTGTAAATGTGGTACATTATGTTCTCATTCTTTGGATGAGGGACATCTGGGTTGTTTTCAGATTCTAGCTATTACAAATAAAGATGCTATGAACATGGTTAAGCAAATGTCCTTGTTGTATGGCTGAGCATATTTTGGATATATGTCTAGAAGTGGTATAGCTGGATCTTGAGGTAGTAATATTCCTAATTTTCTGAGAAGGCGCCAGATGGTTTTCAAAAGTGTACAAATTTACATTCCCACCAGCAATGAAGGAGGGTTCCTCTCCAGCATATGTTGTCATTTGAGTTTTTGATCTTAGGCATTCTGATGGGTGTAAGGTGGAATCTCAGGGTCATTTTGATTTGCATTTTCCTCACAATTAAGGATGTTGAGCGTTTCTTTACGTGTTTCTCTGCCATTCCATATTCCTCTATTGAGCATTCTCTGTTTAGCTCTGTAACCCATCTTTTAATTGGATTACTTGGTTTGTTGGTGTTTAGCTTCTAGAAGATACTTAATCTTCATTCAGGAGGGCAAATGAGATAGACATTGGAAGCAGGAGAAGACAGGGAACAGGACAGGAGCTTACCACAGAGGGCCTCTGAAAGACTCTACCCAGCAGGGTATCAAAGCAGATGCTGAGACTCATAGCCAAACTTTGGGCAGAGTGCAGGGACTCTTATGGGAGAAGGGGTAGGTAGAAACCCTTGAGAAGACAGGAGTTCCACAAGGAGGCCAACAGAGCCAAAAAATCTGGGCCCAGGAGGTCCTGCAGAGACTGATGAATCAACCAAGGACCATTATGGAGAGGACCTAGAGCCCCTGTTCAAAGGAAACCCATAGGCTGTTCAGTCTCCAAGTGGGTTTCCTAGTGAAGGGAACAGGGACTGTTTCTGACATGAACTCAATGGCTGGCTCTTTGATCACCTTTCCCTGGGGGTGTGCAGCCTTGCCAGGCCACAGAGGAAGACAATGCAACTAGTCCTGATGAGACCTGGAAGTGATAAAACAGAGGGAACAGGATGGAAGCCTAACAGATGTTCTCTAAAAGAGTCCACCAAGCAAAGCAGATGCAGAGACTTACAGCCAAACTTTGGACAGAGTGTGAGGAGTCTGATGGAAGAAGGGCTGATAGAAAGACCTGGGGGTGGACAGGAACTCCACTAGGAGACCAACAGAGCCAAAAAATCTGGGCCCAGGGTTCCATGCAGAGACCGAAATGCCAACCAACAACCATGCATCGAGAGGACCTAGACCCCCTGCTCAGATGTAGCCCAAAGTCCACTCAGTCTCCATGTGGGTACCCTAGTGATGGGAACAGGAACTGTCTGATGTGTACTCAGAGCTGGCTTTATGATCACCTTCCCCTGGGAAGTGCAAGAGGAATCCTTGCCAGGTCACAGAGGAAGAGGATGCAGTCAGTCCTGATGAGACCTGGTAGGCTAGGGTCATATAGAAAGGGAGGAGGACCTCTCCTCTCATTGACTAGGGGAAGGGCGTAGGGGGACAAGAGGGAGAGTGGATGGGACTGGCAGGAGATGAAGGAGGAGGGGCCCACAGATGGATACAAAGTGAATAAATTGTAATAAATAATTTTTAAAAGGAACTCAAAACATGGCCAGGCACAGTGACACACACCTTTAATTCTAATAGTTTTAAGGCCAGCCACATCTCCATATTGAGTTTTTTTTTTGCCAGTCAGGGCTGTGTACTAAGACAATGTCTGAAAAAACAAACAAGAACTGAAAATGCTTTTGAAAAAAGGCTTTCCTCAAATTGAAAGTACACGAATGCAGAAGGACAGATAGATGTTCCTATATGCTTTTAGACTTTGATTTGTCCTATCACTTGAATACTTTTGACTTTTGTTCGTATTGATAAAATTATATATGACTATCCTCCTTATATCACTGGACTTTTGTCTTTTTTAAAGCATAGAAAAGCTCTCCTTCTCCCAGGTATCTTAGTGACATGCTGCCTATCTTAAGTATAATTTTTTTTTTAATTTGATTTCAAGGCAAGGTTTCTGTCTGTAGCCTTGGCTGTCCTGGAATTGCTCTGTAAACCAGCAGTCTTTGAACTCACCTGCCTCTGCCTCCGGAGTGCTGGGATTACAGGTGTGTGCTAGCATACCCAGCTCTAAATAATAAATTTTTAATGATGGTATACTCATATATTTTTCTAGATTTTCTTTGATTTTTCTCTTTTACTAAGTATTAGAGGTAAAATATGTAGTGTTGGTATAAATTCCTAGGTTCCTTTAGGAAAGATAAGATTGTTTTCATTTACAATAACCTAATGAAAACTCTTGTTTGGTTTTTCTCTACTCTTGTCAAACTTGTAGACTATTCTTAGTGCCATGAGGAACGTGGTCAAGCACAGAACTTCTATTTTCATTGCACACAGACTGTCAACAGTGGTTGATGCAGATGAAATCATTGTCCTGAGCCAGGTAAGACCCTTTCTCAAAATAAAATGTAAAAGAGATCCTGGGATATAGCTTAGTGGTAGGATGTGTGAAATCCTATGTGAACAGTAATGAGTTCAATTCCCTTTACTGCTAAAACTGTTTCTAGAGTTTTTTTCTTACTCCTTATAGCCTGGTGTTTACCCCCTGATAGACTTAGCAAAATGTTTGGCAACCAGGCATTTATTTCCCCTATTACTTTCCTTCATCAGCAGTTAATGGGAGGATTCTTTTCTAGAGAAACCATAGTAGCTCCCCGGGTATCCAAATGATCATCCTACCACAAAGTGTGCCAGTTGAGAGTGGTATTCCCATGTACACAGCCTCCAGTTTTTCTCTTTTTTTAAAAAAATTATTTATTATGTGTACAATGATGTGTCTGCATATATGCCTGAACACCAGAAGAAAGCACCAGACCTCATTATAGATGGTTGTGAGCCACCATGTAGTTGCTGGAAATTGAACTCAGGACCTTTTGAAAAATAGTCAGTGTTCTTATCCTCTGAGCCATCTCTCCAGCACTCCAGTTATTCTTTTAAGGTCCACTCTTTGGTGTTAGAAGATAATAAACGAAGATCTCTGAAGCAAACAGAATGAAAGGTCAACAACAGAATATGTAGGTAAATCAAAGAGCTATAAGAAATATTTTTAAAATACACTATCCCTAGAGGTCATAAAAAAACAAAGCATTTCTAGAATGACAGGTGCTATTCAGAAAAGGAAAGGAAGCACATGGCATGATTTCGGGATATATGGTTAAATGAAGAAAGTGTAGTGTAAAGACGTTGTATACCGTCTTTTGCAAGAAGGATGGAGGGAAGAATATATGTAGATGTGCTTATTTTTTTCCCAAGAGAAACTCAAGAAGGATAAAATAAAAACTAAAACAGTTGGCTATCTACAGAATGTAGACAGAAAAGATTTACAAGACATGAGAAAATCAGATCTTCCTGAATATGTATGTTTACATTTATTTTGCTTTTGAGCTATTTATATATTCAAATTATATATGTGTGTGTGTGTGTGTGTGTGTATGTATGTATATATGTATGCATGTATGCATGCACAGCCCCAAAATGTATTGACATGTATGAAAACAGAAGGAAAGGTACTATTTGGTGCACTGAAGGGGACTAGCGGAAGGGAGGAATGTGGACAAGAGTAATACATATGTATTAACATGTCATAGTGAAGCTCATTATTGTGTGCCAACTAAAAACACAAAAATAAATCAAGGATACAAAAACATAAAAAAATGAACACTAACAGAAAACAACACTGTCACATTCATAATAGAGCCAACCCATGTAATTTTAACACATTACTCCAATTATATACACTTATTATTAGATGCCCTAATTTGCTACTCTGTTGCTATGATAAAACACTGACTAATACCAACTTTAAGGAGGAAAGGATCTACTTGATTTACAAGTCAAAATCTGTCATTGAGGGAAGCTAAGGCAGGAACTGATACAGAGAGCATGGAGTAATAGTGCTTACAGGTCATAATGAGCTGCCCAATGTGGGTACTGGAAACCCAGCTCAGGTCCTCTGAAAGATGAGGAAAGACTCTTAACATCTGAGCCATCTCTGTCCCCACATGGCCTATTCATAATTTTAAAAAAGTTTAACCTGAATCTAATAATAAGGAACAACTAGATAAATCCAAAGTGAAGGACAGTCTTTATTTAAAAAAAAAATATTTAAAAAAATTAAAAAACTGTAAAGCATTTAGACCTGGACATTTAGGAAATGCCAATGCCACAAAGAGAGAAGAGTAGGGTGCTGTTAGAAATTCAATACGTGGATGCAGGCTGTGTTCTTGTTATTGCTTGGCCCACAGTCATAGCTCCTTTGCATTGCCTTCATGGAGGAATGAATACAGAAATTGTGGTATATTTACACAATGGGATACTACTCGGCAATTAAAAACAAGGAAATCATGAAATTTTCAGGCAAATGGTGGGATCTAGAAAAGATCATCCTGAGTGAGGTATCCCAGAAGGAGAAAGACACACATGGTATATACTCACTTATAAGTGGATATTAGACATATAATATAGGAGAAGCATATTAAAATATATAGCCTTAAAGAAGCTAAACAACAAGGAGGACCCTAGGGAAGATGCATAATCATCATTCAGAAAGGCAAACAGAATAGAAATAAGAAGTAGAACACAAGGAACAGGACAGGAGCATTCCACACAGGACCTCTGAAAGACTCTACCCACCAAGGTATCAAAGGAGATACTGAGACCCATAGCCAAACTTCGGGATAGAAGGACCTGGAGGAAACAGGAACTCTACAAGGTGAACAACAGAGCCAAAATACTTAGGCGCAGGGGGTCCTGCAGAGACTGATACTCGAACCAAGGACCTTGCATGGAGAGAACCTAGACCCCCTGTTCGAAGGAAGCCCATAGGCTGCTCAGTTTTTAAGTGGGTTCCCTAGTAAGGGTTACAAGGGCTCTCTCTGACATGAACTCAGTGGCCATATTTTTGGTCACCTCCCCATGTGGGGGTGCAGCCTTGCCAGGCCACAGAGGAAGATGATACAGCCAGCTTTGATGAGATCTGATAAGCTAGGGTCAGATGGAAGGGCAAGAGGACCTCCCCTATCAGTGGACTAGGAAAGGAGTATAGGGGGAGAAGAAGGAGGGTAGGTGGGACTGGGAGGAGATGAGGGAGGGGACTGCAGCAGGAATACAAAGTAAATAAATTGTAATGAAATATATAATAAAATTAAATTTAAAAATTAAAAACATTTAAATTCAATATGTTGGTTTTCTTCAGATCCTAGATGGGAAAAAAAAAACAATACAGGGAAATATTGTAATAGTTAATGAAGATTGAAAATGAAGTATATGTTAGGTAATAATATCATGTCATTGCTAAATTTCTTGGGTTTGGTATAATTATACCACGTAAGATTATTCCTTATTTTTAAGATCTACATATTAATGAAATATTTAGAGACAATGACTATAAAGTGAGACAAAGCAAATGATGTAGGTACTAACTCTAGGAAGGAAAGACCTGTGAGAAAATGTATATAAAATCCCAGTACCTACAGGATTCAACAGGAAATTTGTAGTCATAAAGAAAACAACACAAAATACTTGCAGAGTCATAACAGAGGAAACAAAATTTGTGATACAAGAGGTGTTACTAGAAGAGTGATAAACGCTGCACAGGTAATATGGGATGATTGGAGCACTAACTTCCCAACTTTTAATAAGTTGAGAAATAATAGCAGAAATGAATAAATCAAGAAACAATATAAACATATATGTATATAGCCATATATGTGTACAAATGCAGTACTTGGGCAATGACACAAACTTCATTAATATGGCAGAAAGATTATATTTGCAAAAAATCCCATCAGCACAAATGCCTGTGAAAGAGACACATGCCTTTTGTGTCCCATCATGTTTAACAGTAGTAGCTATCAACATACAAATTAAGTGTTGATCAAAGTTTGGAATCGATTCTAAATTAATGAAAAGTGTGTTTAATGGGTATTGTTAGCAAAAAGAGCTACTGGAAGAAGTAAAGTTTGTTCCCTTTTTTTTACCTTGTTTTAAAATTAATTACAATTTATTCATTTTGTATCCCAGCTGTGGCCCTCTCCCTTATCCCCTCCGAATCCCACCCTACCTTTCTCATCTCCTTCCATGTCCCTCCCCAAGTCCACTGATAAGAGGAAGTCCTCCTCCCCTTCCCTCTGACTCTAGTAGCCTATCAGGTCTCATCAGGGACTGGCTACATTGTCTTCTTCTGTGGCCTGGTAAGGCTGCTCCCTGCCCCTCATCAGGGGGAGGTGATCAAAGATCCAGCCACTGAGTTTATGTCAGAGACATCCCCTGTTCCTCTTACTAGGGAATCCACTGGGAGACTAAGCCGCCATGGGCTACATCTCTGCGAGGGTTCTAGATTATCTTCATACATGGCCCTTGGTTGGACTATCAGTCTCAGAAAGGACCCCTGTGCCCAGATTTTTTAGTTCTGTTGCTGTCCTTGGAGCTCCTGTCCCCTTCGGGTCTTTCTATCTGCCCCTCCTTTCATAACATTCCCTGCATTCTGCCCAAAGTTTGGCTATGAGTCTCAGCATCTGCCTTGGTACCTTGCTAGGTAGAGTCTTTCAGAGGCTGGCAGTGGTGGGATCCTGTCCTGTTCCTTGTTTTCTCCTTCTTCCAATGTCTGTCCCATTTGCATTAACGAGTAAGGATTGATCATCTCACCCAGGGTCCTCCTTCTTGCTTACCTTCTTAAGGTATACAGATTTTAGAATGTATATCCTATATTATATGTCTAATAACTACTTATCTGTGAGTATATACCAGGTGTGCCTTTCTGCTTCTGGGAAACTTTACTCAGGATGATCTTTTCTAGTTCCCACCATTTGCCTGAAAATTTCATGATTTCCTTGTTTTTAATTGTTGAGTAGTATTCCATTGTATAAATGTACCACAATTTCTGAATCCATTCCTCAGTAGAAGGACGTCTGTGTTATTTCCACAGTCACCTTGATATCTTAACCACAGAAAGACCCAACAGAAAAAGAGAACTTGAGACATATCTCTCTTATGAACATTGATGCAAAAATTCTCAATATAATACTTGCAAACCGAATCCAAGAACACATAAAAGATATCATCCACCATGACCCAGTAGGCTTCATATCCAGGTATACAGGGGTGGTTCATTATAGGGAAATCCATCAGTGTAATCCACCACATAAACAGAAGAGGGAAAGATAACATGATCATCTCCTTAGATGCTGAAAAAGCATTTGACAAAATCCAGCACCCATTCATGTTTAAAGTCTTGGAGAGATCAGGGATACAAGTCACATGCCTAAACATAGTAATGACAACATACAGCAAGCCTATAGCCAACATCAAACTGAACGGAGAGAAACTTAAAGCAATCCCACTGAAATCAGAGACAAGACAAGGCTGCCTACTCTCTCTGTATCTCTTCAACATAGTACTTGAAGTCCTTGCTAGAGCAATAAGACAACTAAAGGAGATTAAGGGGATACAGATTGGAAAGAAAGAAGTCAATGTATTACTACTTACAGATGATATGATAGTAAACATGAGTGATCCCCAAAATTCAACCAGAGAACTCCTCAGCTGATAAACACCTTCAGCAAAGTGGCTGCATACAAAATCAACTCAAAAAAATATCAGTAGCCCTCCTGTATACAAAAGAGAAATGGGCTGAGAAAGAAATTAGAGAAACAACACCCTTCACAGTGGTAGTTTGTTTTCATGAAGTCTTCTGTATTTCATGAAATTTTATTTCAAAATTCACATAGATTTCATAATTTGTTTTTAAATTCTTTAAATCCATATATAGATAACAGTGCTCTTGATTTGAACATTTGCTGATTACAGGAAATATCACCTTTTTAGCATTTTGATCTCCTCTTTTGTGCCTTTCAGCATGAAAAAATAAAATAGTAAAGCTTTCTTTTCTTTACATAATATGGTGGTTGTTGTATTGGGAACCTCATACTTTTTGTTTATATGGGACAGGGTAGTACAACAGTGATGTGTAGCATTCCTTCCTTCGTTTTTCCCACTAGGGCTATGGATTAGGAGTTAGAAGAGATATTTTAATGAATACATGTCCTTCCAATCTTTCCTTATAAATTACCATACTGTTTAGGTATTATGCTAGTAAAATGACCTTGGTCCACATTTACCTTGTGTTTTCTTTTAGGGGAAGATAGCTGAGCGTGGTACCCACCTTAGTCTTCTTGCTAACTCTAGCAGTCTCTATTCAGAGATGTGGCATACACAAAGCAACCGTGTGCAGAACCATGATAACCTTAGATGGGATACAAAGAAAGACAGTCTCTCCAAGGAGGAGGAAAGGAAGAAGCTCCAAGAAGAAATTGTCAACAGTGTGAAAGGCTGTGGGAATTGTTCCTGCTAAGGACTACAAGACATCTTCTTGTTGTTCTTTGTGTTGTCTTGTTTGGTTTTGGAATATACATTTGCACTGAAGCAAAACCTGTTCATAAAAACATCCATCATACATTCCCATTCCTTTAATACTATTAAATAAAACTTATTTAAAGGAGGGTTTGACTTTTATGTCTTTTACCATCTTTTGAATGTGACATCTGTAATTAACCCCAAATTATTTTCTTGTTATTGCTCTAAGAATGCTCAGTGCATAATTTTTTGTTACTGTTTGATTTTACCCTGTAACTATTTTTGAAGTCTGACATCCATTTGATGTTGATAACCATATGAATTAGTGTGGTTTCTGAATTTATTAGTCTTTAAAACCTTTATGAGAACATCTTTTTTCTTAAAATTAAAAAAGAATTCTCTTTTGAGAAGAGTGTAGGTTTTGTTGCCTCTTTCCTTCCTCCTGATATAGTTCCTTGTCAATCTGATAATTAGTTTACAAACACAATTAAAGTTGGAATTTACCAAATATGAACAATATTTATACTTTGGGCATTTTACTTTTAGATAGCTATAATAATATAGTTTTTATTATGTCCTTTTGAGAAGGAAAAACTCATATTGGTGGATAGAATATTATCTTTAATCACCACTGGAACTTTTCTAGTGATTAGAATTTAATTTTTATTCCCAGATTTTTATTTTGGACCAAAATTTATTAATTTCTCTTTGAAGTCTCAGAAACCTTGATGTCATTTGAAAGTTCCTATACAGGCAATGATCCCAAAACTTAGGGAGTTGAAGGCTTTTCCTATTTCCATCTTAAATGCATTGCTTTGCTACTTGAAGTTACACAAACAAATAAGTAAATAGGATGTTTTATATCCACACACGTGTCTACCTGTGTACATGTTCATACATTTATATAAAAGAGTACCACTTCAAGTTATTAAAAATACTTGGTAAATAGGAAAGGATCCCATATATACATATACCCTTTAGATGACCAGTATGTTAATCTCTCTTGGCACTTCAGAATTGCTATGTTTATTGTAAGGCTTTGTCTTACTTATTCATAATTTAATGAGATCTTTTAAGTCTAATATAAAAAAAAAAGAGACTATGCATTACATTCAAGTTTTATTTAGGAAAAATAGAAAAACATTTTACCCGTTAGAAAGAGTTATGAAAATGAGATACACATTTCACTTAAAAAGTTGCTCATATAGGCATGGTAGTGTGTACCTGGGGCCCCAGCATCAGGAGCTTGAGGTCAGGAATTTGAAACTAGCCATCTTTTGAAACTGAAACAGAAGAGAAAAATTTCTCTTGTTTCAGTAGAAATTTAGCACCTATTTAGTTTGAAACACATGTGTATCTCATGTAATCATCTGTAGTTTTTATTCCTCAGGAAAGGTCCTAAATTGCTTATAACATCATGCCTTTAATGTGTTTTAAATGATAATTTAGTGTGGCAGAGATTAATATTTTTGATTTGTATTATTGGTATTGGTGAATAAATAAATTTTTATATTAAGATAGTTTGATAATCTGAGGCCAGTATTTCAGTTAGTCTTTGATATCAAAGTAAGTTATGTGGAATCTCACTATTAAAATTGAAGGTAATATATCAGTTTGTCATGGACTGAAAACTATGTTTGTTTTGTTTTATTGGTGTTTCTTCCTTTCAAGCCACAGATATCAGTACTTTTCTGAGGAGGGAGAACATATTCTTTGAATAAATAAGTTACATTATTGGAGATGTGGTTAAAGTTATAGCTGCTTCTGTAATTCCTACATTGGCAGCGATGCTGATGGAGATGATGGGACTCAATTACACAGACAAGCAGTGTGTAATAATCATCAGTAAGAATTCTTCTTGAAGTGTACATAGCAATGTTCAAAGCAAGTTATTTTGTGATATAGGGAACATTTACTCCAAGGAAGTAGGAATATTTTCAAAGTAGGGATAATTTCTCTGCTATGATTTTGAAACTTGTTTCTTTTTATATGATCGCAGGTGGTCGGTCCCTAGGCTACAGTAGTCATTAACCTATCTTTTCAGCTAACAAAATTTAAATTAGTGCAGAGGCCATAAAGACATCTGTTTTCTTAAAACTGTCCTCTTTAGATAGTTTTTGAGAGGGAAATAATAAACAGATTAAGAGAAAAGAAGAGCTTCCTCGGATGATGGAGTCATAGGAAATGCCAAGAAAAGGCCATTTAATTATAACAGACTAATTTTACATCACAACGTTATGTAACTACGCAAAAGGATAATATGTGTTGCAGCAATATTTTTTAAATGTATTGGAATGATCTGTAGTTTTAAAATTTGCGTTCTGAAAATAAAGGTGATGGGGGTTCACTTTTCTACATACCTTTTTTTAAGTATTAACAAAATTTACTTCATTCCTAAGGAAATTCCAGTTTAGAAAAATTAACTTGAAACCAAGTTAGTTTTCGATCATAAAAACTGGGCCAGATGCCTTACTGATCATCCTTCACAAAGAATTTAGTGTGCAGACGGGCTCATTTGAAAATTTGTAATAGCTCAAGCCAGGGTCACTTGTGATCAGGAAGACCTTTCCATCTGAACATGAACAAGCTCAAGATACTCACGTGCTTTTCCTCTGCAGGGATTTAAAACCTTTTATATACCTTAAGGTAAATATTCTGCCTTTCCCTCTGTGTTGACAAATAATCAGTTTGTGTGGATAGTTGGTTTTTAAAACTTATTTTGCTCTAAAGGCCAGGTATTTATAAACTGTATGTTTCCTTGTTTCTAGGTTGCTTTTTCTCTACTGTCATCTTTTTCCTATCCTTAATATTGCTGAATATATCACCAAGTAGCAACCTTTGCCAGTATATATTCCTAATGTCCTCCTCTTGTAACTTGATTACAGGATATTTTGTTGTGAATTAGCAGTGAAAATGTTTAAATGTTTGTATTACAGTTTATTTTTAATTATAGCAAAGTCCCCTCTTCCCTTCTCTGAGTGTATTGATTTGGAATGTAATCTGTATGGTAAATCATAACATCTAATGAAACACTCTGGAAAAGCTGATTAAGACAAAACATGCCATAGTTCTCTTGTTTATAGCAACCATAGTTCTCTTTTTTTATAGCAACCAGTACAGATAATCATTACTGGATAAACATGTTGTCTTTGAGCCTAGAAATGAGTGTCTGATGGAAATCACTTTTCTGCAATCCTCAGGGAAAGATATTTTATCCCTTATACACTTGGAATAAATATAGGTAATTACTAAGCACTCTGGGAATGTGACCTTAAAGCTGTATACAGAAGGTGAAGACTTGGCATTTTTCAGAAGGAAAGTAAATTTTTGCACAGTTCGTAATGTGGGTAAAATGGTGACAAATTATAGTGGTTTTGTTTAGCCTTAAGCTGACATTTTTTTTTTTTTTGATAACCAGCCAGTGAAAGGTCCCTAGTTTCTTACTTGTCCCCAGTTTCTCAGTTGTAATGATTACTACAGAAACCTTGGGGTGGAGAAATGTCTTGCCTGCATTTTGATTAGCTAGGTAGATTTGGAAATAAGTGTGTTCTAATTAAAAACAGATTGGCACTTTAAAAAATACAGATTGTTTCCATATTTTGTGTTCTCATATAGCTACAGTAAAAATGTTCATTGGTGTCTTTCTGTTCATAAAACCATGGGGTTTAAAGGTCTTTTAATACATTTCCCCTCATTCTATAGTGAGGAAGTGAGGAAGCTGCACTTCAAGGGAAACCACTGTGCTTGATGAAAACCTTAGTTCCTGATGTTAATACTTGTGCTGTACCATATTTCCATTCAGAACTCACATTTGAAAATAAGTTGAAAGGTCAGAATTGAACTTCAAATGGGGAAGGAACTCCACAGGCCTGCTCCCCAACAAAACAATAATTTAACTGCTTTTTAAAAGTTGTTTTAGGGGCTGGAGAGATTGCTCAGTGGTTAAGAGCACATCTGCCTTTGCAGAGGACTCAAGTTCAGTTTCCATCAGTTCAACTGCCTTTGACTCCACTTCCAAGAATCCAACACTCTCTTATGACCTCCAAAGTCACCTTATACTCATGTACACATACTGACACAGACACTTTGCATGCACATAATTTTAAAATACAAAAATTTATTTTAAATTACTTGAAAGAAAAAAGGTATTCTATTCAGAGCTCCTGAAAATGTCCTAAGGACTTACAGGAAATGGAGAAACATTTAAGGCAGTCTAACCTTTTAAGAACAGGGAGTGACTGTGGCCTTTAGGAAATGCTATGTTTCATATGCTCTGTGCTAGAAGCTCTACCCTGGGCATTCTGCTCTAAGCAGGTGGTAAAGACATGAAGATAGTGTGGGTACCTAGAACCACCCTCACCTCCACCCGCAGTTTCTCACTTGAGGCTTCAGTTTTCTGTCATTGAGAGCTGCCTGCATTTTTATCCACATCTTGTCTTAATGGCCCCCCACACCACATATGTGTATTAGCCCATTTTCTGCTGCCGTAGCAAAATATGAGCAAGTAAACTATAAAGATTTGGTGCTAATCATGTGATACCAAGATCTGATTGGCATCGGATAAGTGCCTTTTGCTCTCATAGCATGATAGAAAATACCCTAAGTGTCACAGCACGATATACTATAAAGGGAACAAAGGAAGCATGCTAGCTTATATCTCTTACCATCATGGGCACCCACCTTCATCATCTCATTTTTACCTCCCAGAGGTCCCACCACCAAATACCATCAGCATGAACTTTTGTTCAACACATGAAAACTTGGAGTGCGCATTTAAGTCACAGCTGAGTAGAAGCTCTATTTCATGTGTTAGGACAATAAGATACTATATATTTTTTCTCTTCTCTAGCTTACTCATAGGGTAGAGATTTCACTCAAAATTGACCCCATTTCAGGGCAGTTCAATATTGCAGAATTTTTGACCAAGGAAAAATGCATGTGATTAGGGCAAAGGACCCCATAGCTCCTCCTGTGAGTACTGTCTTCATTTGAAAACATGGAGAACACCTTTAGCAAAGACATTGTCAAAGGCAGTGGAGGTCTTGGAGAACTTCAATTAGGATAGTGGTTCTCGACCTTCCTAATGCAATGACCTTTTAATACAGTTCCTCATGTGTTGACCCCCCAACCATGAAATTATTTTCATTGCTACTTCATAACTGCAGTTTTGCAACTGTTAGGAATTGCAATGTAAATATCTGCATTTTCATGGTCTTCAGCGACCCCTCTGAAAGGTTCGTTTAACTCCCAAAGGGGTGGAGACCAACAGGTTGAAAACTGATGAATTAGGAGGAGCTGGCAGAATCAAAACAGAAGAGCAGCCAAGAAGTCAAGCCGAAATGAAAAAGGGAAAGAACCATCCTGGACCAGTCACTTTAGAGGTTGAAAAAGTGGGGCATACACATTGGGAAAGCTACAAATCCTCAAGGAGAAAATCAGTTACTAAAATCGCCAGAGGAGTCCGTCCAAAATATCCAGTTTGTAAGAAGGTTGTTGTAAGACACAAAAGTAAATAAGAATATAACCCAAACATGGAGGACAGAATAGTAAGTACTGCCATAGTAGGGCAGTAAGAGAACATAACATACAAAGAAATCACAGATTTATATTCTTTGCTTGTGTGTGTGTAGTTTTTCAAGACAGGGTTTCTCTGTGTAGCCTTGACTGTTCTGGGCTTTGTAGACTAGGCTTGCTTTGAACTCACAGAGATCCTCCTGCCTCTGCCCACAGGTGTGTGCCACCACACTTTGCTGAAATCCCAGATTACTAACAAAATTGAATCAGGCACAAGAGGGCCAGAAGACAGAGTAATGAGATTTGAATTGTTTGAAATAATGTCTTAATCAAGAATACTATATTCCAGCTATATGTGTTCACTGATGCAGTAGAGGCATGACTTCTGTTACCTTCTAATTAGGTCTAAGTTTTGTTCCAAAAGAAGGAATTCATGCCAGGTACTGTAAACTTCCACAAAACCCCATTGCTAGTTGAGGTCATAGGCCTTAAGGGGAACCTGCTGTTAATTGTTTTGCTAAATGGATATTCTGTCAAACTGACTTCCAGATATTTGTGTCCTTAGCCTTGATCAGAAAAGCTTCTTTGGGTAGTGGTCAGTGATTGATAAAAAGACTCATCGAGTCAAAATGCCAAGAATAAATGATTGAATGCTGAGCTTTAAATGGGACATGTATACCAAAATAACTCCACCACCACCACCCACACACACACATATACACAAAAGGCTCCAAAGACATTGTGGGAAAGGGCTTGGAAAGAATGTAGGCTGGATGATGAAGAGTGACACGCAATACTTCCTTCTAGATGGCTATTGCTCTCAAACAACTGTGGTTACCTATGGATTCTGGAGGGGATCTTAAGGCCCTACCCATATCAGGGAGCTATTGGCAATTCATAACAGCTTGGGGGGAAAGAATAATTTTTCTTGGGGAGCGAAGCTACTGGAAGGTTGTTCATGCTTCTGTGAATGACCCTATATTCCTATGTATATAGGAAGGGTTAATTGGACTCAGGGGGTTATAAAGAAAAAAGACATGAAGTTAGGAGGGGGATATGTTGGTTAGAGGGATCTGTGGGAATCGGAGGAGGGAAGTAATTGCATTGCATGTATGCATGGAATTTTCAAATAATGAAAGGACAAAATATTATAATTTTACACAAAATTATTATTTAAAACTGAAGATAAAATCAAGGTGTTTTTTCAGACACCTTACATTAAAATATACCTGCAGGAAATACAAATGAAAAATTTCAGGTCCAAAACAAGCAAACCAGGGAGTAATTCAAAACCACAGGAGAAAAAATACCAGTAAAGGCAGTCTAGTGGGTTCTTTTTTTTTTTTTGTGGGTTCTTAAGATAATATTACATTTATACTTTTCTATACCATTTATATGTATAACATATAAAGGTATATAACATTTCTTCTTTCCTTATAAGGAACTACATAAAACAATTTATAGTATTTTTTGTTGGAGTGAAAAAGCTGTCTTAGATTAATGGGCTATTAATGAATCTCACATTCATAAGAACAAGTGGAGAGAATCTCAGATCCATAGGAACAAGTGGAGAGAGCATATATATTACATAACAAGTTAATATCACAAGCCTATCTATACCTTTCTCGCTGCTTTTTAAAAGTAGTGCTTGTATTTTATTGATATTTTTTACTTGCCAATGTGTATTATAACAAGATAAAAATCGGAGTATGTAAAGGAGCAATAGAGGAATGTATTTTTTTCCCTTCAGACTACTTAGTGTAATTATGAAGCACTTATCTTTTAAGTTATAGACTATATTGGAAGTCTTAGAATAAAACTAAGAAAATAACTCTAAGAATGTACTTAAAACACCAGTAAAGGGATAAAGTTATATACTAGACAATGTCTATGGACCACTAAAGAATTCTATATAAGAGGAAGAGAAGTCTTTAAAAAAAAAAGGAGAAAAATATCTAGAAAAAATAAATATAAAATTATAAATTTTTACTCAACAACTATGGATATCAGATAAATATCAGTAACTATTAATGCAATAATCAAAATAAAAGGTACAGACTGTCAATTGGTTTGAAATATTAAGGTCCTACCGTACATATGTCCTCTGTAAGAGATACTACCCAAATGAGTAAAAAGTAAAAAGATAGGGAAAATATTCCATGTAAACACCAACCAGAAGAGCTGGAGTAGCTGTCCTAATAGCAGACAGTATATTTTACAATAACAACTAGAAAAAAGAGTGATTTCATACTCTAATCACTGTATCAGCTAACTGATACTACAGAACTCCCTACCCCCAGACCAACAGATTTCACCTTGTTGTGCACATGGAACATCCTTCTACATAGGGCATGTGGTAGGACATAAAACAAACTTCAGTACATTTAAAATAATTGAAACCATACTTTAATAATGAAATTAGAAGTCAGCATTATGGAGAAACTTGGAGATTTCTGAAATATACTGAAATTAAAAAATATACTTTATAGGCCAAAGAAATTGCAAAAAAGAATTAGAAAATACTTTGATTAATAAAAATGATCAAATGCAATTAGGTCCAGGGGAATTCATAATTTTAAATGAATGTGTTTTTAAATTTTGGAATGAGTAATTTAAACTTTCTTTTTTTTAAAATTTTTTGATTAATTACACTTTATTTACTTTGTGTCCCCTGTAGTTCCCTCCCTCCTCCCCTCCCAATCCCTCCCTTCCTTCTCCTTCTCCACACATGCCCCTCCCCAAGTCCACTGGTAGGGGAGGTCTTCTTTTCTTTCTTTCTGATCCTAGTCTGTTAGGTCTCATCAGGAGTGGCTGCATTGTCTTCCTCTGTGGCCTGGTAAGGCTGTTCCCCTCTCAGTGGGAGGTAATCAAAGAGCAAGCCAATCAGTTCAAGTCAGAGACAGTCCTTGTTCCCATTACTATGGAACCCACTAGGAGACTGAACTGCCATGGGCTACATCTGTGCAGGGGTTCTGGGTTATCTCCATGCATGCTACTTGGTTGGAGTATCAGTCTCAGGGAAGACCCCTCTGTTCAGATTTTTTGGTTCTGTTGCCCTCCTTGTGGGGCTTCTGTTCTCTCCAGATCTTACTTTCATCTTAAGAAATTATTAAAAAATAGTGCTTGTTTCGGCAGCACAATTACTAAAACTGGAATGATGCAGAGAAGATTACATGGCCTCTGTGCAAGGATGACATGCAAATTCATGAAGCATTCCATATTTTTGGAACCATCTCCAAAACTGACCATATAGTCAGACACAATGCAAGCCTACCATATACAAAATTGAAATAATCCCTTGTGTCCTATCAGACAACCATGAAATAAAATGAGACCTCAAAAACAACAAAAAGCCTACACACACATGGGAACAACTTTCACTCAACAACAGCTGGATTGAAGAAGAAATAAAAAAAGAAAATAGAGACTTCCTAAAATTCAGTGAAAATGAAGGCACAACTTATCCAGACTTATGGGACACAATAAAAGCAGTGCGAAGAGGAAAGTTCATAGCACTAAATGCCTTCAAAAGAAGTTTTGAGAAGAAACAGGACAGGAGCCTACCGTAGAGGGCCTCTGAAAGACTCTACCTAGCAGTGTATCAAAGCAGATGCTGAGACTCATAACCAAACCTTGGGCAGAGTACAGAGAATCATATGAAAGTAGGGGGAGTTAGTAAGACCTGGAGAGGACAGGAGCTCCACAAGGACCAAGTATATCTGAACACAGGAGTCTTTTTTGAGACTGATTCTCCAACCAAAGACCATACATGGATATAACCTAGAACCCTTGCCCAGATGTAGCCCATGGCAGCTCAGTATCCAAGTAGGTAACCCTAGTAAGGGGAATAGGGACTGTCTCTGACATGAACTTGGTGGCTGGCTCTTTGACTGTCCCCCCACCCCTGAGGCTACAGAGGAGGATATTGCAGCCAGTCCTGATGAGATCTGATAAACAAGGGTCAAATGAAAGGGAAGGAGGACCCCCCTATCAGTGGACTTGAGAGAGGCTTGGGAGGAGATGAGGAGGGAGGGTGGGATTGAGAAGGAATGAGGGAGGGGGCTACAACTGGGATACAAAGTAAAGAAACTGCAATTAATATAAAAAATAAAAATTTAATTAAAAAAAGATCAACAAGCAATAAATGGGACCTCATGAAACTGAAAAGCTTCTGAAAAGCAAAGGACACTCTCATGAGAACAAAATGACAACCTACAGATTGGGAAAGGGTTTTCCACAATCCTGTATCTGAGAGAGGGCTACTATCCAGAACATATAAAGAACTCAAGAAGGTAAACGCCAACAAATCAAGTATTCCAATTAAAAAATGGGGTTATAGAGCTAAAGAGAATTCTCATAAGAGGAATATTGAATGGCAGAGAAACACTTAAGGAAATGTTCAATCTCCTTAGTCATCAGGGAGATGCAAATCAAAATGACCCTAAGATTTCATTTTACACTGTTGTGAGTTATTAATATTTATTATTGATATATCTTTTAGTTAAGCAGTGGTTATTCCTAAACCAGCTGTTTACCCAATTCAACACACAGAGACTGGGATTTATTTAATTAACTTAGAGCTCAATGCTAGGCAATAGTTACTCCATCCTAAACCTCCAAGCCCGCATAGTTTCTTACCATTCAGATTTCTCCCATTATCCTTGCTTTTAGTCATATCTTAGGTCCAGTTCATCCCAACTCACGGTTCCTAGTCTTGGCCTGCCTATCTCTGCTCCTCTCTTGTACTTGCTTTCTCCTCCTCCCCTCTGGCCCAGCATGTCCCACCTTATTCTCTCCATTGCTCAGCATTGGGGCTGGTTGTTTTAGTGACAATATACAGAACAAATGGTGAGATGTTTATACATACTTGAGACAGGTGATGCTTAGAATAAGCATCACAATGCAATGTCTGGATTGAAACCAGTAGTGGGGTAGAGAAATCAGCATTTGAATGAAAAGGGTACATTCCACAAGAATATTATACCAACATTACACCCATCAGAATGACTAAGATAAAAACTCAAGTGAAAATACATGCTGGAGAGGATGTGGATAAAGGGGAACCATCCTCCATTCCTGGTGGGAATGTAAACTTGTACAATCTCTTTAGAAATCAATCTGGCGCTTTCTCAGACAATTAGGAATAAAGCTTCCTCAAGATCCAGCTATACCACTCCTAGGCATATATCCAAAAGATGCTCAAGTACACAACAAGGACATTTGCTTAACCATGTTCATTGCAGCTTTATTCATAATAACCAGAATCTGGAAACAACCTAGATGTCCCTCAAGGGAGTAATAGATACAGAAATTGTGGTACATTTACACAATGGAATACTACTCAGCAATTAAAAACAAGAAAATCATGAAATCTGCAGGCAAATGGTGGGATCTAGAAAAGATCATCTAGAGTGAGGTAACTCAGAAGTAGAAAGACACACATGGTTTATACTCACTCATAAGTGGTTATTAGACATATAATATAGGATAAACAGAGTAAAATCTGTACTCCTAAAGGAGCTAAACAACAAGAAGGAGTATCCTAGGGAAGATGGTCAATCCTCAGTCAGAAGGGCAACTGTGATATTTGTTGGAAGCAGGAGAAAACAGGGAACAGGACAGAAGCCTATCACAGAGGGCCTCTTAAAAGCCCTACTGATCAAGGTAGTGAAGCAGATGCTGAGACTCATAGCCAAACTTCAGACAGAGTGCATGGAATCTTTTTTAAATTTAATTTAATTTTATTAATTACACTTTATTCACTTTATCCCCTCCCTCCTCTCCTTCCAATCCCACCCTCCCACCCCCTTCTTCATGCATGCCCCTCCCCAAGTCCACTGATAAGGGAGGTCCTCTTCTCCTTCCTTCTGATCTTAGTCTATCAGATCACATCAGGAGTGGCTGCATTGTGCTCCAGTGGTGCAATCAATTAGCATGGAATCTTATGGAAGAAGGGGGAAATAGAAAGAGCTGGAGGGGACAGGAGCTCCAACAGGAGATTAACAGAGCCAAAAATACTGGGCCCTGGGATCCTTGTAGAGACTGATACCCCAACCAATGACCATGCATGGAGAGGACCTAAAACTCCTGATCAGATGTAGCCCATGGCAGCTCAGTGTCCAAGTGGGTTTCCTACTAAGGGGAACAGAGATTGTCTCTGACATCGACTCAGTGGCAGGTAGGTGTATGATCACCTCCCTCTGGGGGGGTTCGGCCTTGCCAGCCACAGAGGAAGACAATGTAGCCAGTCATGTTGAGACTTGATAAGCTAGGGTCAGAGGGAAGGGGATGAGGACCTAGGGGAGTGGCATAGAAGAAGAAGGAGGGAGGGAAGGATTGTGAAGAGATAAGGAAGGGAGCCACAGCTTGCATACAAAGTCAATAAATTGTAAAAAATAATTATTAAAAAATTTCAAAAAGAAAAGAAAAAAAAGAAATTTTAATAAAATAAACAATCAAATGATTTAATGTTTTAGAGCAGAGGTTAATAAAACAGTAACAAATATTAGAACAGAAGTTAATGAAACAGAACAGAAACTCTATAGGGAAACTTAACAAACCCTGAGTTTTTCTAAACTTCATTGTGTATGTTGATGTTCTGCCATTTGCTGTAACATGACTGAACTTAGAGAGCAACAGTATGCTTACTTAAATGAACCAGAGATAAATAAAAGCATTGCATGCTCTCGCATGTGGGATTTAAATGAATGGCAAAGAATAAAACTATTTGGCAGCGTCAGGAGTCAGGGGAAGAAATGAGAAGGTATAGAACAGAAGATATAAAGTAGAAATAATAAATCAAGAAAACCACAAACCATCAAAATTGAGGCAAGAAGGAATTTCCAGTATGAATAGATCAGATTAAGTAATGGAAGCTACCCACTAAGAAAGCAAGGCCTAGGCAGCTTCATCACTGAGTTCTCTGAAACATTAAAAGAAGTAACTAATACCAATACTTTAAAAATCAGCCCAATGAATTTAAATTCACCGAATTCAGTTCTTTTTTGTTCAGAGACTTTACTTCTTATTTCAGAACATATATAACCTTAAGTTATGGAAAGCGGTGCTCTGAAAAATCAAGATACTTTCAAAACTACTTCTTCAGCAAATCGGTAACTATGCAGTAAAATGATAAGGGAAGAAACAGAGGGAAAGTATTTTTATAATGCTGGAGTTATAAAGCAAAAAGATGACTGCCAAGACATGGCTGCAGCAAAAGTTGTGTCGGCTATCTGTGCATATTCCATGAAGCAGACATTGGAATGTCCTGCACAAGTAACCCAAAGAGAAAGATCACTTTTCCTTCAAATGCATGGCTATTTCAAAGAGTGTTTGCCTTGCCTTGAACTTTTTGGCAGTTGCTGTAGTTTACAATGCACACTAACCCAGGACTATTGTTGTTTCCAATGTAAGTGCACTTGAACACCAGCTTGATGACAATGTGATTTTTAATCAGTAAAAAGAAAAGAATTAGCCCCGAACTTCCCAATAACTTCATTGTGATTCTGATCCACAGCCAATGACAGCCCGGAGAGAAGCCTACCTCTAATATTAATAAGTGCAGAAATTTTTTTTTAAAAAACTACTAGCAAAATGAGATTGTATTACTTTTGCATTCTTGTGAGTAACATAAATGACAGAAACGGGAGATAAAAAGCTTCTTTTTGCTTGCAGTTGCAGTTGGATTTCAGTCCATTGGGCCAGCAGGAAGGAGTCCAAAGCTGTTCGTAGCAGCACAGAGCTCCAGGTTTGTATCAGGAGGTAGGCTATAACCTTCAAAGGTTGGCTACTAGTGACCTGTTTGAGTAGCTAGTCCCCACTTCCTAAAGGTTCTAGTCTCCCAGAACTGCACTACCAGCTAGGTAACAATCATGTAAAACAGGAGCCTTTGGGGAACATTTCAAATTCAAACCATAACAGAGTCCCATAACATTTCAAAAAGATGCCTAGTGAGGTTTACCTCAGAGCTGCAAAGTAATCTAGCATCCAAGAATCATAACAAATGATGTTCATAGAATAAGTAACTAAATTAATATAGTCACTTCAGTTCATTCAGAAAAAAAAATATTTAATAAATATAGCATACTTTCATGAAAATAATCCTTAATATACAACACATAGAAAAGTTTTAACCTGATAAAGGTAATAAAAATAGTTTAAAATATTTTAAGATTTATTTTTATTACATATGAGTATGTATGTGCCACATGTGTGACTGTTCACAG